TATATGTGCATTGTGAAAATAATTTGCGAGAAAGAAAGAAGGGAGTCACGTTAAAATGTACAGTTGTCACTTTCGAATAGTAATAAAGGGATTATTCTATCTTAGGTATACTTCAACAGCACTTCATTTCTGAATATTTGTCCTGCTCACTTTAGCAAATAACAAAATCCAATACGCTTGCTACAAGATAGCCATTATCTTAAGGAATGGAATATGTTGAACATTTTACTAACAGACAATATAATGGTAATGATGTCCAGACAGCTCTACTTAATCGGTTGGAAGAGTTACGTCAACAGTCTCCTGAATACTTTTCAAAACCAATCAAGGTACTAGATGCTGTTGATGATACTATTGTAGGTCAGTTGGAACAACGGCTACAAGAAGAAAAGAGATCTCGTACAGGGAAGCGCATCACACTTATCCCATACCATGTCGAAAATTCGCATTGGGTTGGACTTTTATTAGAATTCGAAGCAGATGGACAAATTAAACGAGCCGAATATATTGATCCGGTCAATGGCCCAAATGTTGTTCCAGTCAGAGTGCAAAATCAATTTTCTAGAGTGTATGCAGACGATATTTTACAGACAAGGAATTTGCGGAAACAAGATGGTCAAAGAAATAGTGCACAATTAATGATTGAAAACTTATTAACAGCGGTCGGAAATGTTTCACTTTCACGAGAAACAGGTAACAGATTGACACTATTTGAACTACAACAAAGATTGAACAGCGGCTTGGCAAAGTGGGAAGTTCAGAATGTGACTAAGTTACCAGAAAAGATACAGGAAACAGAACAACGAATTGAAGACTATCAAAGAAGGAAAAAGAATGAAAAGGTCGAGAGAGAACAGGCAAAGATGAAGGAATTGAAAGAGTTAGTAGAACTGTCGAAACAAACTGCTGTTCTCCTAAGTTCTATGAACGCTGACAAATTAAAACTTCAATATATGGAACAAAGATTAGTTAGTGGTTTTGTAAAGTGGGAAATTCTGGATGTGACTAAGTTGTCAGAAAAAATACAAGAAACAGAAAGACGCATTGAAGATTATCAAAGGAGGAGAAAAAGTGAAAAGGCCGAGAGAGCAAAAACAGATTTGACTGAACTGATAGAATTAGTACAACTTAAAGAAGATATTAGCAGTTTCCAAAGCATGATCCTAAACAAAGAAAGAATAATAAAAGAGGATCTTAACGTTCTAAGTGAAGATTTAACGATCATGCCTACTTGTGCTGAAAAGACGATCATGGAGCTTCAAGAGTATTTTCAACGGAAACTACTGAAAGATCACGTTACTTCATTAACTAAAGCCTCACCGAGCGATTTGTTAAACCTTCTCCATAGCCAGATCAAAAGGCAAGAGTTAATTTCGGGACAAATTAGGATGAATCTTCAAGAGTTAGATACATATGTACGTAGAGACGATTATTTTTCTACGGTGCGTATTTTGAAAGAACTTCTAAAGGAAATCTGGCCTTTAAATGTGCAAGAGATACGAAAGCTTACAACTAAAGCGGAAGAAGTAGCTAAATTAATCCGGAACAAAGATATCATTCTTTTAGTCGGTGCGACTGGAAGCGGAAAATCTACTACAATTCAATTTCTCACAGGTGCTAGAATGAAAGAAACTAAGGTAGAAGTTGACCCCGGAAAATATTTGAAACATCTTGAACCTACTGGTCCTATTAAGAATCCCAGATTGAGTAATGTGACAAGTAATCCACTAAACAAGTCAGAAACTCGGTATATTGTGCCTGTCATGGTACCGTTGGATGATATTTTTGGTCCTCATGAGACCGGATATATTATTTTATGTGATGCACCTGATTTTGGTAACAGGTCAGACGCAGAATTAGATATTGCAAATAGTGTAGGAGTTATTGAAGCTCTTAAGGGATGCTCGAGTGTCAAGCTACTTGCTCTGTCAAGTTACCAAGGCTTAGATGACAAAGGTCAAAACATTCAGAAACTGGTCCACATGTTGATCAATATAATAAATGGAATAGAATATCGATTAAACACAATTTTTTACGCATTTACAAAATACCCTCTGACAACGAATATTAATGCACTGTTATTAGATATCAAAGCTTCGAAAATAGATACAAATGCTTTGTTGAAATCGGATAGTACCTTTGTGAAAATATTGGACGATATGATAGAGAAAACTAAGAGCAGAGCTGAAATAATAGATCCTGTTCATGGTGATCCGAAACAGTTGATTAAGAAATTGAAACTTGTATCTGGTATTCAATATCCAGCAGAAGTTTTTCGATTTTCGATGAGTGAAGAAACACAGACCACTATTGCAAACCAAGTACAAAAATATAAATTGAGTATCATGTGTGCGATGAAATACAAAGATAATGATCTTGTGAAATATTATTTGAATGATTTAAAGACATTCAAGGACTTGTTAACGCAAAGTTTTGTTCGAGATGCTTACGAAGATTCTCTAAACGTTGTAAAAGAGAGTGTTGCCAAGTGTCATGCAGAAATGATGCAAAAATTTAATCGCTCTCTTGCTAGTCAAGATATATTGAGAGCGGAAGACATTCGTGATTACATAGCTTTTATTGACTACATTGAAGATACTCAAAAATTGAGTGAACATTTAGGATCACACTTAATGTCAGCAACGACACTGATGCAAAATATAAATTCTGAGCTGCAGAAAAGAAGTCATGCGCTCATAACAGAAGATTTACGCAGTCCTTTGGTAAAAGCCTTCCTAGATAATTTTTGCTTGCTCAAAAACTCGTTAAAGTTACTCGAATCAAATTATAATGCAAGTTGTGAGGAATTTTCAAAGAGCTTTGAAAGACTAGTGCAATCGGCACGAGAGCCCATTGTAGCCAACCAATTCGAACATGTTGCTGGAATCATTCTTACAATGTCAGAAGCGTCACAAGCTTTAAAAAATCATTTGGGTAAACACATTGAACAAAAGTATCGAGAAACTGTTAAATTTCTCGTAGAATACTTAAGTAGTTTCATTGACAAAGCAGATCCTCTTTTGGCGAAACCCCATTTAAGTGACAGCGATGTGACAAAATTGCGAAATTACATGGAAATACTAAGTTCAGCTAAAGAAAATAGTGCACTTCAAGATCGTATCTCTACATATATGGAAATGTCAAAACACAAAACCGATACATCCGAAGAAAATTTTCAAGATTTGAATGAAATTTACAATAAATTCATTGCAAAAATTGTCATGTACTTTGATCAAATTAGTATTAGGATCGAAGAACTTTTTAAGGAAAACGAAGATCATGCTTTAGAAACTATAGAACAAATGGTTGTAGTAATGGAAGCCATTCGTACAATACCAGGACTTGAGTCAAAGACAGCTGGAGCATATTATCGTACCATTGAAAACACTCGTAGATACATGCAACAGTTGCAGAAAGAGACACAGAAGTTTCTTGTCGTTATTGATAGTCAGTCAGAAAACACCAATTATAGATGTCTTACAAAATCATTGTCTCGTTTGAAAAATGCTAAATGGATTAATCGCATTAGTTCAGGAGCACACGATCTTTTGATGCGCCGTATTGGAGAAGAGTTGATGCAATATGCTTATCAGTTGGAACATCGTTTGATGAAACTGGATTTAAGTTTGAAATGTCATGAGAACGTCACTGTAGCACAAGAAATTCTTGAGAAAATTGAATCTTTAAGCATCTTGGAAAGTAGCGTTCCAGAGCTTGAAAAGCACAGACTTCGCCTATTCGAATACTTTTTCAAGTCTACACAGGATACATTCGATTGTATACAAAGAACGTTCAATTTACAAGATAGTACTGTGTATCAAACAAAACAAAAACTGAGGGAACTTGAACAAATCAAACGCGACTATGCGAATTTGTATCCAGCCCATGCAGCTTTACGAAAACAAGAATTTTTAGATATAGATTCATCGAATGGTGATATTGAATCTCAAAAAAACAAACAAAAAACAGAGCTCCAGAATCAGTATAAACCTACAGGATCCAGTTATTCTTTAAATCACCTTGAAACAATGAAGAGAAAACATGATCCGTCATTAGCTCCAAGTATATCGGTTTCTTCAGAAGAAATCAATTTTCTTCGAAAGAAAGGATTTAATAGTTTTGAATGTCTTTCTGCTAGTATTCAAGAGAAGAAGAGAATTATTATTGAACGTGAGAAGAATAAGCAACCGTATGATTTCAGTCACAGGTTCGATGCTTCAATAGCAAATAGTGCACTATTGTACGTCAGTCAATGCGAAAAAGGATGCTATATTCGTGTAAAAGAAATCGCAGTTGATATAAGCATGACCTTGAAAAAGTACATTAGTGAATATGGTAATTTTTTGAACCAAGAAATAATGAGAAACTTTAAGAATGTTCTTAGTATTGACTGTAGAGAAGACTATTCTAAATATTGTAATGATTTAGAAACGCGACTGCGAGAATTATCTTCTCTTAGCAGGTTTACTAGTGTTTCTGATTGCATAGATGGAGCCGAGAAATTAGAAAATTGGAATCGCATATTTTTGGATTATTATCAGAGCCTGAGCGATAAAATGGAAGAATTCAAATTGTCCAACAATAACAGGGAATTACATGCCCGATTAAACATTGCGCAAGCATTGAGTTGTGTAGATAGTTTCTGTACCTCTGTGTTTGCAGGCAATGGGTTTCGAGCCTTATATAAACATTATCAGGTCGAAGCAAGTAGGCAATTTAAAGCAGCTTATATGACTGTACTAGATCATATATCAAGGGAAGATTATGCAAATGTAGCTATATCATTAGCCGATATCAATGACATACTGTTAAATGACAAAGAGTTAGCTCAAATTAAACATGACTTACAAAGTTCTTTATATAAGCTGATGACGGATATCAATAGTATTGCGTATGCGCTATGTGACAAAATCGAAAGAGAGGAAGATAACAGGAGCCAAATACAAGAATTCAAAGAAAAAATCGAGAAGATTCAAATTGCTTTAAATAAACACAACATTATGGAGTTACTCGACAAGACAATCAAAATCAAACTTGAGGCATTTATGGATGATATCAATAAAATTTTATCGGATACTATAATACAAGGATTTGATGCTATTGAAGCTCTTATCAATATTGACAGTTTTTTGGAAGCGGAGCAAGGTATGAAAAATCTCAGTCGTGTACAGCGTGAATTAGCAGCTTATTGTACATCGACTGCTTTGATCGAAAAAAGTAAAGAGCTTAGAGAAAGATTGGATGGTATAGTTAATGAGATCTTACAACGTGACTTTGAAGACATTAATACATATTCCATGAATTCACCAAAAGATCTTATCACAAAATTAAGGATAATTGCATTACGTGGTAATGCTAGATTTAATCAAGTCTACAATATTATGTTGGGAAAAATCAGGCAAAATTTTAGTACAGCTATAGAACAAGTACGTGCTGCAGCGTTGGAGGAACGTGTCAATAAGGTACGTTCGTTAAATGGGGCCTTGTGTTTTTTACCGGATGAGTTACAAGCTCCATTCAAAATGCAGATCGATGAATTGAGTAAATTAGTAACCGATGAAGAGAAAGCATTGAGACGTGACTTGAATGAAGTTTTAAAGAATGTAGACGATGACGATCATACTATCCGAAAACTAGGCATACTTGCTCAGCGTTATAGTAAACAAAATGCGAATGAACTTTTTGAAACATTACGAACTGAAACTTTAAAAAAGTTGCAACTCTATCAAGAAAATGTAGCGAGTGCGTTAGATCGGCAAGATATGCAATTTGCTATTAATATCGCGAAGAAAATCTTGAAATATAAAGAATCCGTAGGTTCTTACATTCCAGAAATAGAAGCAGTTAGTAAAAACATTCGTGACCTGATAATCAAACATTTTTTGAATTGCTGTGACACGCTTGTCAACATATCCACGATAGAACAAACACACATTGTTGAAGAAGCCTTTCAAAATATAATCATTTGCATAAGTTTTTCAACCACTTTTCATGAAGAAACTGAACAGTTTCTTCCCGAACATGTGTTGCAAAACGGTAGCGATTCATTTCAAAAAATGTACCAATATTTATATCAAAATTCTGAAAAATATCATATAGCTATTAAGGAAATGCATATTGTTCAATTGTATAAAATTTTGATAATAGCTAAGCAATGGGATGGACTCCTAGAGAAGATTAAAAAGTGTCATTTAAAACATGAGTCGGTTCAAGTCTTGATAAAAGACATAACGAATGTAATTTCATATACAAATATGATTGCTGAGCTGCAGAAAGAGATTAGCTATTTAAAAGATCAATTAGATGTTGAACTCATTAGTTACGACACAACACAGTTCGAAAAAAAGCGTGAAGAATTTTTCGGCCATCTTATGAAATTATTGAATACATTGAAGGAGATCGATTCCAAATTAAAAGATATTTTACCGTTCAAAGTGGATATTGATAAGTTAGAAGAAGAGCTGAAAAAGAAGATCCAAAAACTTGGTGCTCAACTACTTGCGATCGCATCAAAAAGCGAGTTGTCTTCACGAGACTCCGATCAATTTCGTATGTTTTACAACCATCTAGCATCATTGGATAAATATACAGCTAGGATAGGGTTCGATGCTCGACAATTTTTAGATGCATCAGAGGAGAAAATTTTTGATCAAGTAATGTCCTTAAGCAAAGAGATAAGATCTTCAAGTTCGGATGTTCCAAAAGTCGCTAAGTTGTTAACTAAAATGAAATTTTTTGCTGAAAATTTATCGATGTTCGATAATAAAATCAATGAAGAGATCGACGAGATACTTAAAATTTACAAACAACAAGAAGGTCCGGCAGTACTTATGCAATTGACTATGATATTAGAAAAAACAGATATCGGTGCGCGATTAATATCCGAGCATTCTTCTTTAAGTGGAGAAGATTGGCGAAGACGACGTGAAAAAATGCAAAATCAGGATAATTTGGAGTATGTTCTGAAAGAATTAGCCGGCGACGATATTACAACAGATGTTTTAGCTACATGTTATCAAACTTTTAGGGCAACGTATGACGATTTAATATCTCGAATTTTAGGAGTATTTGATCAGAAAAAAGATAACGAACCTGATTTAGAAGTATTAATCAATCAAACTAAAGCTCTTGTGGCAACAGTAACTAAAAAACCGAATACTATTATTTGGGATCACTCTTTCAAAGATAAGATTCCTGAATTATTGGCGCATATTTTCGCTGTCTGGACTTTGAAAAACACGCAACATTATAATGCATTGCGCGGTATTGAATCTGCACGCGCATATTTGCTAATGCCTCATGTTGCACAAGTTCTTGCCATTTTCCGTATTCTTGGTATTGGCTACAATAAATACACAAAAATCAAAGGATCTAATAAATCTTTAGCAGAGAAAATCTCTGATGATTTGATTAATAATCTAGTAGAGATAGGAACAGGTGAAGGCAAATCAGTTGTAATGGCAGTAACAGCGTGCGTTTTCGCTCTCTTAGGAGTGGATGTCAATTGTTCATGTTATAGTGAAGTATTAAGTGCACGAGATAAGAAAGATTTTGCTTCAGTTTTTCGTGCTCTCGGAGTAGAAGAACGTATTGAATATGGTACTTTTAATAAATTGTGCGAAAACCTATTAAATGAGCGATGCAATGTGCGGGAGAAGGTGCGTGATATGATTATCAATAATAAACGTGCAATATCCGTAGTTGGAGCGACTGTATATTTGCGTCCCAAAGTGTTATTGATTGATGAAGTAGATGTTTTCTTGAGTGAAAAATTCTATGGTGGCACGTATACGCCTTCGGTATATTTGAGAGATTCCTCCATTAAGAATTTGTTAGATACTATTTGGCAAAACAAGACACTACGAGATTTAGAGAGTGTTAAGGTCACGTCGGCATATCAGACTTGTGCAGCTCGATTTAGCAACTGGACCTTTCTTCTCGATGAGGCAATAAAAGATATGATAGCGGTATTACAATCGTTTCTGTCCTCTACTCATATTGTCCAGAATGATAAAATTGTTTATGTCGAAGGTGAATCCATAGTTGACAATGTAGTTCGAGGCTACGATACAGTTTGGGCTTACTATCAGGAAAACGGAAATGGTAATATTAGCCAGAGTAGCCTAGAAGCGAATGTTGGTATCATAGTGAATTGTGGAACATTTTCGTATGCTGAAATGCCGCATGAATTTGCTTATATCACCGGTGTAACTGGCACTTTGAGGACACTTGTCAGGACAGAAACAGATATACTAAGATATGTGTACAATGTGCAAAAATACACATTTATGCCATCGGTATTTGGCAGAAGCAATCGTACGTATAATCCGAACAATGATGTACAAGTCATGAATGAGTCTGAGTATTTCATGAGAATTCGTGGAGAGATTGACAGTGTATGCAATGCCGATCGTGCGATTCTCGTATTTTTTGAATCAGAAGAAAAATTAATGAAATTTTACGAGTCTCCAGAGTTATTATCTAAAAAAAATGACGTCCAAATTATAACCGAGACAGTTTCTGTAAAAGAAAGAGAGTTGTATATTAAACGTGCAGCGATGATTGGTAGAATTACACTGTTAACTCGAACATTCGGACGAGGTACTGATTTTATCTGTCGTAATCAACAACTCTTACTTAATGGAGGTATGCATGTACTTCAAACATTTTTCTCTGAAGAATTATCTGAAGAATACCAAATTATAGGTAGAGGTGCACGACAAGGAGATTATGGCTCATACAGAATGATTTTGCTAGATAAAGATTTAGAATGGGTTCTCGGTCCTAATTGGAAGACAGAGCTACCAAAAATATTAGGCACTACTCTTTATGCAGCTTTGAATAAGGCTCGCAATGCAATTTATGAAAGTAAATGTGCTGCGAAAGAACTTGGTATAGAGCAATGCAAGCATGAACATAATGCTTCTAAAGAATTTATGACTGCATTATCCGAAGGTAACATGAAGACTGTAAAGAATTTTTTGTTGGAACAAAATCGGGGAGCAAGTTCAGTTCCGAAAACTTCACGTACGGTTTTATTAATGGATGCAACAGGCTCTATGTCGAATTTGTTATCTGCTACGAAAGAAACGGTGTGTACAATGTTTGAGCGAGCTTCTGACATCTTAAAAGAAAAAATGCTTCCTAGTGATGCATTTCAAATGCAAATTGCTATATATCGAAACTATAATTCTAAAGCGAATAAAATTTTGCAAACTTCTTCGTGGGAGACAAAAGCTAGTAATTTAAGAGCATTTATGAACACAATCCACCCTGAAGGTGGATGGGGGAACGAAGCCATTGAAATAGGTTTATGGCACGCAGTTAAAGAAAGCGAAATGCAAAACTCAATCTCTCAAGTAATATTAATAGGAGATGCTCCAGCGAATACACAAAAAGAGGTCAGTCAGAAAAGAGGAAGTTTTGGTGAAGCATATTGGGAAAAAACTAGATTTAGTAAGCCAACATATTATCAGTATGAATTACAAAAGTTAAAAGAGAACAGCATTCCTGTGCATGCGTTCTATCTTACTGATTATGCAAAGGGTGATTTCCGAAAAATTGCGAGAGAGACGCAAGGACGCTGTGAACATTTAGATATTTATTCTTCGGATGGTGCTGAGTCACTGACCGATTTTGTAACAGAAGAAATTTTAAGGAGTGCTGCTGGTGATCAAGGAGATGCTGCAGTAGAACTATATAAAATGAAATATGAGAGAAAAACTTATGCGTTTTGAAGATAAGTCGTACAGCTTTGATATAAGTACACTTTGCTAGATTTCTCGGCCTATTCTTGTTCTGTCCTCCTGATGCTTCTCATTCTTTCGATGACGTATCTTGTGAATGTGACACTTGTTCTATATAAAATCAAAAGTTGTCACATCACACAACTACCCACGCTCTTATTATTGTTGTTTTTCTGTTGTTTTTTTTTACTTTTGTCTTATGCTAAAGCCACTGTATCTTGTGAAAATAATATGTCGACCCATTTTTCGTCGTTTGTTACAATTGTTCCAACAACTTGATTTCACTTTTTTGTTCGTACTTCTGTTACTGATAATAAAATAGTACTTAACAAAGACGTGCGTGTTAGTATGGGATGGGATGTGGGGTAGCGAGTTTGCAAGTGGAACCGAGAGTGTGTTCTTTCTTTTAGTAAAAGATCAATATATATGATTTATTCGTACATCATGCCTTACCAACAAGTGTCTATGGAAAGAGTGTTCTGCACCGACGTCTATGAAGTATGATTGTGGATACGTAACTGATTTCTTAGAACGATTAAGCAAACTCATTTTTTCTCATATGATCCTCGTTTTAGTGGAGGGAACAACAATACCACTTTATTGGAAATAAACTAAGCGATATTTTCCGCAAAAAATAACTACCAGATCTTTCACTTACTTGGCAAGACTGCCTCATAGATTTCGTTCAGAACAAAATTTTTTCAACTTTGCATCACTGTCGCACATATTTGTAATCGATCGAATCTAGCCAGTAGAGAAAATTTTTATGGATCACCATCGTTTCAAGCCTTCATCCCTTATTATCTGAGATCTAGCCAAGTAACACTTGGGTTGCTTCTACAAAAATTATTCATCATCAATGACAAGACTCCAGACGTTCACTCTACTTTGGTCAAAAGGTAAAAATGTCAAAAATAAAAATATCAAAAACGAAAATTATAGAAATATTTAAACACACAATTGTTGGAAATGATAGTATATGAAGCGTCAAACTTTCTCACTCCTACTCAAACTCTGGTACACACGTTCGGTCCCTCATTCCTGTCTTGATACTGTCACTTTTCGCACAAAGTAGTGTTGACCGCTCTAAATTCAAAATTGAAAGCACTAGGGTTATACTAACAGTCTCTAGACACATACGTTTAGCTAAAATCTAAGAAATATGCCAGTCGAAAAGAAACTGAACCCGAGGTCAATAGAAATCAACATCATCGACGCAAGTGGACTAACCTAATATCCCTTCTCACTTTGAAATAATAATGCTTTCAATAAATGAGAGCAATAAACTAACAAAAAATGTCATTCACCAAAACCCCTCAGCTGAATGAATAATGTGATTCGAGAAGATAAGAAAAGTATGCACATGACGTTCGTTGATCTACTGCATCAAAAACCTTATTAACTGAAAGAACCGTCAGAAATAAATGTGACTGCTGATCTTCAGCATCGGAATGATGTACTACTCAAAAGCTAGAAAGGCTATAGGTGTGGGTGTGGGTTTTGGTGTGGACATGAGTATCATACTCCATACATTCGCACCCGAATTCAGGTGAAAGAAAGAATGACAAAGAGTTAAAATCATTTATCTGTTGTTACAAATAATTAAATGTTTTCAGTCAGTGTGTCACACTTGAAAGCATTAATACTTTCCAGATAGAATTCATCTGTTTCGTCCTCAATATTCCAGTGTCCTTGAATCTTAAACCCTCCCAAGTTATCGCAATAGATATTTCCATTGTATTCAACAGAATGTTGCCCAACGTATTGCTTTGTGAAGGAAACCTTTCCTTCGTTATCATAATTTCCAGCCATTGTGAAAGGTCCAATTTCATCATTTCCTTGACCTAACACTCTTCCTTCTCTTAAGCTAAAGAAATCAAACAACATATCAAAAGCTTGATGATATTGATAATATCTCCCTCGTACAGCACCACCTTCAAACCTTGTAATGACTTGAGACCGATGAGAATCTTCATCTTTTTTCTCTTCAAGAGCTCTATTAATTCGTTGTACAAGAATATCGATACTGGAGTTGAATTGATTATCATCTTGCATATTGATTGCGTTTAAGGAAGCTATTATCGTGCCTAACCATGTGTTTTGGAATCCCTTATCATTCTCAAGAAGAACAGGAGCAATATTCTTCTTTAATTGAGAAGCATATGTAAGTTCTTTTTGACAATTAATGCTTTTGCTATAAGCAACAGTATCAAAACTAATAACCATCGCAGCACCTTCAACACCATAAGCCATAGCAGCATTAATATTCCCTTTCATATCTCCAGCAATATCAAACCAAATAGGAATATTCCTTTGTTTGAGTATATCTGCTACTCGTTTAACAAGCTCTTGACTATTCCATTGATAACTTAACATGATATGCAAACCTTTAGGTCCTGATGATTGATTGCGAGAAACTTCTAGATGGAAGCTATCAGATAAGTCATCTAGAAACCATTTTCCATCAAAGAAGAATTGAGATTCATGATGCGTTATAGTTCCAGAGTATTGAACATCATGTTGTCCGATATAATGCTTTTTAAACTGGAATTCAAAGTCTTCTTTATCTGATAAACAGATGTATTTCCCATTGATTACAAAGCCACCGACTTCATCATCTCCTTGACCAGCAATATAACCATCTATCATAGCAAACATATCAAACTTCATATCAAACTTCTTTCCCCATTGAATATAATAACCTTGAACAAGAGTTCCATCAACGAGAGCACCAAGATGTTGCTCTTCATCTAAAGAATCGCTGATATATGGATGCAATTGTCCTATAAGATTATCCAGATTTTTCTCAATGTCATTTGCATCCGTTATCTTCGTCCATAATGCACCAGCACAAATAACGCCAAGCCAACTACTTTGAGAATAATGATCTTGCGCTTTTATGGGAACTATAGGAATACCAGCTTCATCCACATAAGAAAGAACATATTTCGAAGTATTCGATGCTTCATATGCTTCACTCATTAATGGTATAACAACTCTTGCTTCTTCAGTTGCTATTTTTATCATTTCATGCATTCGTAATGGCGGGCAAACAGCTGAAATACCTTTAGCAACCAATCCTTCAGCTATCTTTTGAGCTAAATCATATTGACATGGACAATAGGAAATCATAACTTTACTTCCTTGTCTTCGTGAAGCTTTTGGTAATGGTATCTTTTCCATTTCTGCTGCATATACCTCTGGAAGAGTCAGATGGATAATAAATCTATCATAAATATTGTTTATTTCCCAGTGTCCTTCTATCAAACATTTCATTCCCTGTAAATAAATCTCTCCTCGATATATAACAGAATGTTTTCCAACATATTGCTTATGCATATTGATATCACCATAGCCATCTTTAAGCTTGTATTGACCAGCAAGAGTAAAAGCTCCAACTTGATCATCTCCTTGACCAAATACTTTGCCTTGTTGCAAACCAAAAAACTAATGGAAATATATAACTTAGATATTAATATATCTGTCAATTTAATTCATTAAATACCTCAAATTCCATTGGACACTGTTGACCAAACTGATGATAAGTAGCGGTCACGTCTCCCGATCTAGTTCCGCCATAAAATAGATGCTTTTCTATTGGTTGTGGTTCATTCTTTTCATCTCTTTCAAGAACAAGATTATTAGTTTTAATTCCCATAGAAATCAAGGATTTCATAACTTCATTAAAATCAGCTGAGCAACTACTTGTGGGAGCTAAAATAGCACCTAACCAGTCTGTAGGTTGAAAATCTTCACAAATCTTAATATTTAGAATCGCTGTTTTAGTTTGATCAGCGTAATTCAATAGTTTTGATCCACTTTTTGACACTTGTAATGAGCGGGATGGAAAAGCTAGCACCACAGCAGCATTTTCAATACCATTTGCAATTTTAGTATTGATGTCTTCATTTTCTCTAGGGTGGTAAACTCTCAATCGTCTCTGGATGAAATGATTCTTCAGTTTTTCAGCCACTCTTACATCGGATTCATCTTTTTCTGCATAGGCAAAGAATATATGCTTCTTCTCTTGACATGACGGCGTTACTGCTTCCTGCATTTTTCCAAAAACTAAAAAGAAAAATGAATCTTTTCAGTCACAGATCTTTTTGTAGGTATGGATTGTGGGTGTGAGTGTGAACATGAGTATCATATTCCATTCACTTACACTCATATTCTCTAATCCTTAGTCATGGATTGCACTTTCCGCTTCTGTAGCTGCTCTAACCCAAGCGCAAGCGATGTGCTCTATATCGGTATACTCACTGTTATCTTAACCAATGTGTATCACTTCAGAATTTCATGACTTATGAGAGAGTAAGGAAAGGTCATATTTTTTTGAATATCTATGTTGTTTACCGTATATTATTGGCTTTCTGTAAAGGCATTTAATTTCCAGAAACTCATTCGATTTGATGAAAAGTCATATATAACATCATAAGAATTTGATTTCCTTAATGGCGGTTCGAGATACTTTGACGTTCTTTGATCTACTTCGGGTCAATTTCAATTATGTTTGAAGTAATGACTAATAAAGTTAAAGTTTATTGGTTCCTTCTTATTGGATGATTACGGAGTATGGAAACTCTGGTAATTACATTATTAAAGTAAAAACCGCACAAATCTATTTAGTTTTTGGTTTTGTCTGTTTGTATATGCCTTCGTATATTGTACAGATCATTATAAGTTCTATGAACAAAGGGGACAAGCGTACCTCTGTACTTCAAAAGTACGAAAGTATCAAGAAGTATCAAGAAGTACCGAGAAGTACAAAGAAGTACAATTTTTCTTCCTTGTTTATGAAAATCTCATTCTTTGTCTTTTAATAGTCTTCTGACAATGAAATCATTTACAAGAGATATTCAATCATAATGGCTTAATAAGTGTATCATCTTCAATCGATAGGACGGGAGCACATAAGGACGCAAATCAGTCTATTTTCAGTTTTCCAAAGAGAGTACACATATTGATGCAGAAAGAGACGGCGAATCTTT